TTAGTACTCCAATGAACCTTCAGCATACCCACAACGCATTAACAACCCAAAAATTCATCGCTGTGTATTTCTAGGGTGTCAAACTGAAGAAACTTTCAGAAGCCAAGACCAGAATCTAGTGGAAACTACCAATTTGTGACGAAAATTTTTTTCGGACAAAAAATCAGCACAGCGCAAATCGGCTTCTGCAACGATCGCTTGCCAAAAAAAAATTGGTGAATGGAACAACAATGAACATATCAAGATGACTTATCCCCAGCATATCTCCAACGCGTTAACAACCCAAAGAAGCGTCGCTGTATATTTCAAAGATGTCAAAACTGAAGAAACATTCAGTATCCAAGACCGGAAGCTAGTGGAAACTACAACCTTGTGACGTCAACTTTTTCCGGACAAAAAATCACCACAGCGCAAATCCACTTCTGCAACGATCACTAACCTAATAGAATTGATGAATGGAACAACAAGGAACATCAAGATTTCTTAACTAGCCACACATTGTCCTGGAAATTAAAAATTTGTACCACAAAAGATCGTATCAATGATAAACTCAAAGAATGACATGTTTCAGAAACATAAAGACCAAAATCAAAAACTTAGTACTCCCATGAACGTTCAGCTTACCCACCATGCATCAGCAACCTATAAGAAAGGTCGCTGCGTATTTCAAAGATGTCAAAACTGAAGAAACATTCAGTAGCCGAGACCAGAAGCTAGTGGAAACTACCAATTTGTGACGACAACTTTTTTCGGAGAAAAAATTACAAATCGGCTTCTGCAACGATCGCTAAGCAAGTAGAATTGGTGAATGAACAACAATGAACACATTAAGATGACTTAACTTGCCACACACTGTCCTGAAAAACGAAAAAATTTGTACCATCAAGGGTGAACACAAAAAAGACATATTTCAGAATCATAAAAACCGAAATGAAAAAATTAGTACACCAATAAAATTTCAATTTATCCCCAACGCATTAACAACCCGAAAAAGCGTCGCTGTATACTTCAAAGATGTCAAAACGGAAGAAACATTCAAGAAGCTAGTTGAAACTACAAATTTTTGACGACAACTTTTTCGAACAAAAATCAACACAGCGGAAATTGGCTTATGCAACAATCGCTGACCCAGTAGAACTCATTATTGGAACAACAATGAACACATCAAGATGTTTTACTAGCCACACACTGTCCCAGAAAATGAAAAAAATATATACGACAAAAAATCTCTTCAAGGATGAACACATAAATGGACAAGTATGACATTGCCAAATAGAGTTAACATGACGTTTGCGGTCGATGAGCAACCAAGTGTTTGGCAGCAAAAAAGTACCTTGCAGTCAAGAAAAGAAAAATGAAAACCACATTTCAGAACAACAACAAAAGCAACAACTGAACAACAACAACGACAAAAGCAACAACTACAGAACCAACGACAACAACTACAGCAACGACGACAACAACAGCACCAACAACATTCAGAACAAGGATCATCCGAATGGTGTTACTCCCAATTGAATTCATCAATTGTGCTACGAGATACTTATGAAAATGTGTGTCGAGTTATTCAAAAAAAAACCAGACCTGCAACATCTAAAAAGAAAAACTGGCTAAAACTATTTTAACAGCATAGCGGATAAAAATAACATCAATACTGTTATATTTTACGCTTAATATTAAATTTTTTCATCGTATCTCCAATGCACATTGAGTTATCAAATCTGTTATCGAGCTCTTCAACTATTATTAAAGTTTCTCTAACAAATCTGCAATAATTTTTCCTATATACTCATCAAAACAAGCAAAACGGGGTATTTCGAGAAAACTCTCCTCAACAACGAACAAATGGTACCACTTCTACTTGATTCAATCAATTTTTCGACGAGTTGTTCTTAAAAGACTGATGTGTACCCCATTAAAAAAAGACAGGTAACAACAAAAAATGACCAAAAAAAGGACTGAAAACAATTTAACAGTAAATCTGATAATAACAATATCAATACTGTTGTAATTTACGCTGAAACTCAAAGTTTTATCATCCTAGCTTCAATATACAATGAGACATCACATCTTTTATCGAGCCCTTCAACTGGTTTTAACGTTTCTGTAATACATATCCATATATTTTTCCTAAATACTTACCTAAACAAATAAACTCGGGTACTAGGAGAAAGCCCTGCTCAAGACCAAACTTGTGATACTACTTCCACTTAAATCCGTTATCTCTACGAAAAGTTCTTCCTAAAAAACTGATGTATACTCATTGAAAAAAAAAGACTTGAAACAACAAAAATTGACTTAAGAACCTGACTAAACCTACTTTAACGGTACTCATGATGCTAACATCACAAACACTGAAGAATTCTACGCTTAACCTCGAAGTTGTATCATCCTAGCTGCAAAATACATAGAGTTCATGCATGGTCCCATATAAGGATAGTCAACTAGCATGGAGGTCACACGAAAAAAGTTCAAAGACCGGTCAAAACAAGCAAAAACGTGTACTGGAAGACAGTATAGCCCGCGACTGACTGCTATTATAATCAAACCGCTCAAACTTGCAAGATTTTTGTAATATGCACTACTTATAATTCTGTTTTTATGAAAAAACACTTTTGAGTCGAGTATGCACAAAAAGCGCTTTGTTGAAAAACCTGTACAAAAAAACTTGTAAACGTCAGATCATATTTTGCTGAACATCTTGGACGAGTTAAGCACAAATAAAAGATTTGGATTTATGTAAAATTAAAAGAAATACACCAATTCTTAATACTTAAAGCATAATTTAATTTGTCTTAAAACTACGTCTGCTTCTAAAGTCGCCTTGAGAGCTACCGCGTTCGCTCAAACTGAAAGTTTGTTTAGATGTAATTGCAAAATTCAATGTGTTATTTGGCTACATTGCATAGATTTTTTGTTTTTGGTACGACTTCCCTAATAGGTATTCTTAGAAACTAAAACTACAATAGGTTCTTCGTAATCACTCAATTACTTTGTTATTCGGAAACACAGTTGAGCTTCTAAGTAAGTTGCGTTCCTCAGTAAAAACGAAAACTTCAAAGATAAAAGGGAAAACGCAGAATTAGGACATAAATAAATTTTTGCAAACATTGCGCTTTGTCGAAAACACCTTATTTTCTTTAATTTGGCAAAAAATGGGAGTGCTTCAGAAAGCTCTAGTTTTGGTATTTTGAATGAAACTACAATCAACTCAAGGTAAAATTGACTCATAAAGTTATGAGTCCTAGAAAAAAAAACATTGATAACAGAATGACTGACAGCAGAAAAAAGATAAATTCTCAACGAAAACTTATCGGTTTTCAAAAAATGGTATGTTCGAGCTTCTCTTGAGCTACAAATGTTTTTAGTACCGCTTTCAGAGCTTATAATTGCATTTTCTTTGTATGTCCTAAAAAGAAAACGTTTCGACTAGGAAGAAAAATTTGGCTATTTGTTAGCCTTTCGTTCATCCCTGTAAAAATTTTTAGCTTTTTTGATTTTTCTTTGGCTTTGAATGAGTTTCAAGAAACTCCATAATAGTAAAAAAAAATGAGAACGTTTAAACACATTAGACAAACAATCATGAGAACTCCGGTCTCATTTTAAAGTGAAAAGAAACTTAGAAAAAACGTTTTATTCTATAACTTTTGAAACCGATTTTTCAGCCGAAGTTTTCAAAAAAAAATGAGTTAAATTATGAGTATCACTTCATAATTGGATGGGCAAATTTGTTTTGTTTTCCCAAAGACGAATGTTGCGTCAGTTATTCAGGTTTGATTCAAAGGGAATTGTTGTGGCTAGAAATTTGGTTTTTTTAATTTTTTTTTCAATTCTGTTTTCCAAAGATTATGAAATTATATTTCTTAAGAAACCCTAACCCTAAACCTAATCCTAATCCGACCTTAAGTCATTTTCGGAAAAGAGGAACTGTGAGGCTCCGACCTTCGGGATCTCAGTTTGACTCGTCGTAAACTACCAATTTGTGACGAGTAAAACTGAGCAAAACCTCGTTTTAAAACCTCGTTTTTGATGAGCAAGGTTTAAATTGAGCAAAAGCACTCCTAATTACTTTAAATTTGATTTAAAACAAGTCTTAACATGTTTCTGAACATCTTGCTTTTTTTGAAAAAATGGTTATCGTACATTTTTCATATATGGAAATTGTATGATAACCAATTTATTAGCTTCAAACTAAGCTTTCGTTTTTGATGAGCATTGTGCTTTAAATTGAGCAAAAGTACTCTTAAATAATTAAAATTTGTTTAAAAACAAGTTTTAACAAGTTTTTGAAATTCTTGCCTTTCATGAAAAAATGGTTATCATACATTTTTCATATATGGAACTTCTAGGATAACCATTTTTTTCCAAAAAAAAAAAATAAACGTAGTTATTTTTCCTTATCAGACCGTTTTATTTGGTTCAAATAGCCGGAAAAATTATATTGAATCTTTTTTCAATGGTTTTTTGAAATTGTATGAAAAATGTATGATTAACTTTTTTCCGTACATTTGATGTAGGAAATTGTAAGATAAGCATTTTCGGTGTGGCGAAATGTTAGATAAGCACCTGGAGGTCAACCCAGGTAGTATTTCAACTGCATATTAGCGTCACAATACCTTTCCAGGCCTTTTTGTTGGTTTTATTCGGTTTTCTCTATAAGACCGCTCAAAAAGCGCTTAAAAACTGCTAAAATCTTGCTTGAAAAACCCTTCAAAAATCACCGCAAGAAATGAGCGGTTTTTGGGCGGTTTTTTGAAGCAAGATTTGAGCAGTTTGAGCAGTTTTCAAAAAAACACCCCAAATCGCCCAAACCGCTCAAACCGCTCAAACCGCTCAAATCTTGCTGGAAAACCGCTCAAACCGCCCATATCTTGAGCGGTTTTTGAGCGGGATCTCGACCCGGGAACCCATTTCATCGCGAATCATCATAACCAATTCAAAAAACATCGAACAGGTACCTCCAGCCTTGGGCCCCTAGTAAGCTTCGGTTTTTGTTTCAGGTGTGTACTTGGGACTCCTTTTTGCAAGAATATGCCGTCGACGATTTTGATACTTTCGGAGACCCTCAGTGCTTACCCCTTTATGAGTTTCCAAGTGGTTATATTCTAGCTCTCTCGCAATCGACCAAACAGAACGAGCCTCGGTTGCTGAGCTATTTACCCACTGGTCATTACACTCCATACAACAACCTTTTCGAGGAAACCAACATAAGGTTAGAGTTCTCTCAGAAATGAAACAGTTTTTTCACTGAATTGAATTATGGGCTGTTGGAACGATTTTCATCATCGCCAACAAAAAAAGTTTTCAAGATAAATCCTAGGGATAAATCCAAGGTGGCTAATACACCAAACACCGATCAGTTCCAAAAAGACCGTGTATTTGTCGCAGTATTCTTTTCGGACTGATAGGCTCGTGTAACCACTTGGCCAATTTTCATGCTAGTCGTACTCTAATTCCCTGGTCTCAAAACATCTGTACGAAACATTAGCAAACATGAGGTTAAGTTCAGATCGACATTATTCAAATACGACCTTGAAGCAGTCTGACCAATTAAATTGAGTAAAGTTCGAACATTTTTGAGTTTAAGATCAGTTAACATGAAAAACTTTACCGTTTTTATCTAAAATAAAACTATACAAAAGCGTGAAGCTAAATGTTTGTAACAACCCGATCGCACGTATCCGTATTAAACTGTTTTCGAAACTTTGTTGAAATTTTTTAGTCGTTGGTTGAACTTTAGACATCATTTATGGTCAGTATCAAAAAAAAACTGAGAGAGAACTTTCACTGAATAAGCGATTGTGCACAAACTTCTCCAAGAGTTATGAAATCAAATATAGCAGTTTTTGCCATTTTGACAATCTCTGTTTTTCTCATTTGCTACTCTCCCAAGTCTGCAATTAGAAACTCAATCGAGAGAGCAAATTGCTAGAATCATCCCCGCTTAAGCGTCTAAGGTTCAGTTTTTTACATTACGAGGCCAAACTGTGCACTGGATAGGCGCACAATTTTGTGTATGTATGTTCCTGGATTCCAAAGACAAATCGTTAAACATGTTCCAAAATGTAAGTGGATTCCGCGTACAAAAACCTGTACCGTAAATTTTGTCGGCACATTTGTTTTGTGGCGGATTCTGCAACCAGCAAATATATCTAGTTGTTCTGGATTCTGCAACTGTACGTGGATTCCGCAAAATGTAAGTGGAATCCGCAAAATTTAAAAGGAATCCGCAAATTTAAGTGGAATTCGCAAACAAAATGCGGAATCCAATTACAATTTGCGGAATCCACTTACATTTTGCGGATTCCACTTATAATTTGCGGATTCCGCTTACAGTTGTCGATTCCGCAACAGCTCAATGTAACTATACACATGTCTTATTATTTGTTTGTGGGTTCCATACTGTTCTGGCTTCAGCAAATACAGTTGCGGATTCCGCAAATTCGCCTAGTTTGGAGCGATCTTGTGCGGTACAATGTTTTAAGTATTTGTTTGAGGAATCCAAAACGCAAAGAAGATCAAAGAAAAGTAGCATTGTTTCGAACTCCCCGACAAATCTGATTTTGGCTTGTTGCGGAATCCGTTTACAATGCACAGAATACACAGTTTGGCCTCGTAATGTTAATTGTAAATCATTTAGTTCAAATTTTCGAAACTTTGACCTAATTTTATATTTTTTTAATTAATCAAACTTTGAATAAAAGATTCATCCATGAAACTTTTTACGGAAAAGCTAATTTCGTAAAAAGTGTTGCTCCAAATTTTTTAGAAACGTCAAAATTCTGAACTTCTGTCCGTTTTTTGGAAAATTTTTGTGATTTCCTGAAAGTAGCCTGACATTTCCGAGATTCGTGGTTCAATCGGAAAAACAAGCTGCAAAATTTTTCCCTGCTTTTTTGAGTTTCTCTTAATTTCTGTAGTCAAATTGGCATGGTCTGAAAAAAAATTTCTTCTGAAAATGTCACCGTTTTTCCAATGAACGCAAATTTGTTTAATTTTCTCAAAAAAACTACCCGGCTGAACTTACCCTTATGGAACCTGATCTAAATTACGTTTTATTATTTATCAATTAGATATTTTACCAATGTAAAATATTTAATATTAACCAATCACAATCCATCTAACTAACTACCCACTTATTTGTAAGTGCTGAAATTACTTTTAATTTCAGCACCAGAGAGATTTGAATTTAACTTAGAAATTAGTTGCCTCTCCGAGTACTTCAGTAGCCGCAACAATACCAGTATACTCTAGATCTATTGAGCCTAGCAGAGACTAGTTAAACACCCTGAGACTAGTAGTTATAAGAGTAAGATTAGGATCGGTATTAGACTAAGAAGTTGCACGAATCTATCCGGCCGAAAAAAAGATAGCGTGACGAGCAGACGGTGTACCCTATCCGAAATTACTCTATGAGATAGACCCCCATATCTAAACTCATCTGGTGCAACCATAAGTCCCGAACAAGACCTTAAAGAACAAATTAGCTTAGAACTAACAAAAATTAGATTAGAAATAGACAAAAACATTTTCAAAACGTTGCACGACAATAATTTAATCAAATGGTCTCTACGACTCAATAGACCAGAGCCGCTATTCAGTACAATACGAGAACTACCCGGTATTGGAAAAAGACCTCGGACAAGGGACGACATACGACTACATATAAACTTACCATTTAGTTTCATGGTCGTACGGCAAAAGCCAACATAAACTTTTATATTTAGAGTTTTGTTAGCAATGAATTTAGATTTTCATTTCCAAACATAAAATCCCTGAAGAAAAATCTTCAATGCATCTACCAGGCGCTAAATAAATTACTATTGTTCAAAAACGATTGAAAAAAAACATCTCTAATCGTTTCTTCCTCTACAGTATTATATAGAAGATATTTGAAAAATAGTTTATTCAAAATAAAAATAAAAATTAGTAGCATGACAATAATTGTTAGTAAACATAAAACATCTTGTTGTTCCGGCTTCATCACCTAAACATAACAGCAATCATAAATCAACTAACTTCATCAAAACTAAAATTCACAAATTGTTATTTTAAATCTTAAATTATACATTCCCTAAACTTAAATTTTCTAAATTTAAACCAGATCATCAAGGTTTATCATTGGATCTAAATTAGTTTTCTATTCTCAATTTTATTTCTGATCATCAAGGTTTATCCTTGGATCAACCAGAACAATTTTGTTCTCCCCCATCCACTTATCAAGTGTCTAACGACCTCATACGTCGATTCACTATCCCACTTTTTCCAAAGACCCAGGACTAATAGAAATTTTTCAAATACTAACCATTCAAATTAGGCTAAACAGTGAAGAAGTTCGGTCGTTCATCCTTCACTTGACCCCTCCTCTTATACGACCCAGGATAATCTTAGACTTAGTAAGTTTAAAATAGTACCTAACGAACTACTTGCGTTCTAATTATACCTGAACCTTGTGGATCGATTTACTATTCTCCAACCCTTGTGAACAGAATCACTAAACCAACCCTCAATAAAAAGACCCAGGCTAAGCTAACCAAAAAATCGTAAGGACTAACAGTCTAGGAAATTAAAATCACTCACAAACAAATTTGCATCCGTCATCCTAAACCTTATGTCATTAAAGAACCTAGGAAATAAACAAACAATCGTCATACACAATTGTGAAATCTAAAATCAAAATTACGATCTTTTCATAACCCGGCATACACAAACAGTTGAATGCATTCACACAAAACGGCAAACACTAGAAAGAACAATTCTAAGAAAGCAAAGACAATTAACACGAAAAAGATTTTCAAAATACAGAAATGCATTCTCAGCATCAGAAGTTAGTAGTCTCGATGCACTATACAAAGTAGAAGACTCAATAAATCAAACTTATCCAATCCAGGATCCAGTAAATTTTTCCGATTCAGAAACAAATACTATTTCATCGAAAAAAGGAAAAAATTGAATAAAAAAGAAACAAAAACACAAACCAGTACATATATACAATTGGAGTCAACCAATTAGACACATTAAAAATTATATAATAAAAGTTATCAAACGAAAAGATGAGCAACACTCAAAGTGAAGAAAGTCTCGATGAAGAACACGCTTTCCCCTTCATTATAAATTTACAAAATGATAGAGGACAAATAAAATTTTGCAAAAATTTACTCATAAATTTATTTGAACCAGGAAGCAGTCCCTGTAAAACAGAATTTCCAGATGTAAAAATCAAAAGACAAATAATAGATAATTATCTCAAAGATATCTCTAAAATAACACAACAATACGGTATCTACACGATATGAATCAGTACACCAAGAAGAGGATATAATAAATATTTTATTCAAACAGCGGATCTTGATCTAGAATTTTCAAAAGTATTCACAGAATACATCAAAAATATACAATACCATAATTCACAAAGAGCAAACTCAAAATTCACAAATGAAGTTTTTGCTATAATTTATGCATATTTAACTATATTAGAAAAAACAGAAGTTCAAAGTACATCACCAATCCAGACATCTAAACATAAAAAAGTCAGAAATGAAATCACCGCATTTTCTACATTTTTAAACGCAATTCGTGAAAATTTTTACAGCAATGATGTTTCACAAAATACCAAACATGATTTACAAAAAATACTAGCATGGTTTACAAACGATTATTTCACACATAATTTAGATTTAATTAGCCAAGCAAGAAAAAATGTTAGACCTCAAAGTAACAATGACGACACTGTCATTGCAGAACAATCAGATTATGTTTTGGTCTCAACCAATTATTTATAAACATCCCAGTCGACTTTTTAAGTCAAGCAATAGATACAATATCTATTCACCCAGACTATATAAAAACAAAACCATTAACAATTGATGCAACACCCTTAAATTATTATACATTTTTACCCAACACACAAAATAATAGTTTAAATTCAACAATTATACATCATGAAAATCTCATTGGAACTGGAAGTCTTACACAACAAGATATTCAAACACCATCACACTTCATAAATGAAGAAATAGTCCAAATAACAATAACCACTACGCAACAGAGGATCTCACCGATACATCCAAACCTTACAACACCAAGAAATAATAATGCAACATCACCACAAGTAACATTACAATCAACCGTAAAACCTTCGGCTACCCTTGCTCCTAAATATTCCTATATGGATTACCGAACATATAGACCAATGACAAAACCATCAAAACC